TGCCGAAGGGCAGAGTCTCGTTCGGGGAGGTAGACCGAATCTTTCCCCTTTATGAGGGCTCTACCAGGATTATTTGGCCGAGCCTAAGCGCTCGGGAACCCTACATGAAATTCGGCCTTGTTCTACATGTGACTGCGTGAGGCAGTTTCTAGATACTCTAGCTGCAATCTTTTATTCAGGTCTTAGCGGCTTTCGAACTCTCTGCCTTCGGGCAGAGAGGAACCCGTACGAGGCTATGCCGAAGGGCAGAGTCTCGTTCGGGGAGGTAGACCGAATCTTTCCCCTTTATGAGGGCTCTACCGGGATTATTTGGCCGAGCCTAAGGGCTCGGTAACCCTACATGAAATTCGGCCTTGTTCCACATGTGACTGCGTGAGGCAGTTTCTAGATACTCTAGCTGCAATCTTTTATTCAGGTCTTAGCGGCTTTCGAACTCTCTGCCTTCGGGCAGAGAGGAACCCGTACGAGGCTATGCCGAAGGGCAGAGTCTCGTTCGGGGAGGTAGACCGAACCGATCCCGTTTATGATGGGTCTACGGGGAATCTTTAGTCGAGCCTACGGGCTCGGGAACCCCAGATTATATTCGGGATTGTGCCACATGTGACTGTGTGTGGCAGTTGCTAAATACACTAATCCTTGCGACAAAATCTACATCCATTGAATGTGTTTCTGTACATATCCCTTTCTTCAATTTTACTTTTGAATATTTATCTAATCCGAAATCCATACCGATGTCACCACTGAAACATTTTAGAGTATTGAGGAGACCCTTCAACTCACTGTTGTCTTTGACAAAGAATTTCAGATCATCCATGTAGAATAGGTAATTGACCAATTCCTTTTTTTACTTTGTGTCTATAATTATTACTGTTTAGTTAATGCGAAAGAGGGGTTAGGAACAGACTGAACAGAAGTGGCACCAGGGAGTCTCATTGAAAGATTCCTCGTCGGTTATTCAAACAATTGGAGTACCTTTGGTGCCATTTAGGTATATTATGGTTCTCCACAGTTCCATGCTATAATTAAGGAATTCATTATCACCGACGAGACATATTACATTTCCAAAGCCTTAAGGAATCAACAGTGTGACATACTATCGAAGATTTACGGTAATCTATCCAAGCTGTGTACCTTTTACCTGAAAATGTTCAGGATCATTTTATTTATTAATAGTTGATCTGTTGAATATGCTGTATTCCATCTCCTTCGCTGACTTCTAGGCATTTATAAGTTTCTTTTTGTCCCATTTCCCTAATCTTTGTGACAAAATCTGGATCTATTCAGTATTTTTCTATAATTCTCCCTTCCTTGAATGTTCCCTTTGCACATTATCTAATCCGAAATCCATTCCTATGTCATCACTGAAATATTTTACAGTATTAAGTTGACGCCTCAAATCATTATCGTCTTTGAAAAAGAATTGGATATCATCCATGTAGAATAGGTAATTAAAACACTTTCTTTTTTTACTTTGTGTCCATAATTATTACTGTTTAGTTCATACGAAAGAGGAATTAGCGACAGACTGAACAGAAGTGGCACCAGGGAGTCTTATTGAAAGATTCCTCGTCAGTTATTCAAACAATTGGAAGTGGCAGTACTTTTGGTGTGATTTTGGTATATTATGTTTTTTCCACAGTTCCATGTTATATTTAAGGAAATTTACTATCACCGAGGAGACTTCGTACATTTCCATAGCTTTAAGGATCCAATAATGTGGCACATATATCAAAGGCTTTACAGTAATCTATCCAAGCTCTGCTAAGCTTTGTACCTATTTTTCTGTGATTTTCCAGGATCATTTTATTTATCAGGAGTTGGTCTCGGTGACAATATGTTATGGAGTGGTTTCACAGTGGAGGCTTGTTTTTGTACTAAGTCGGTCCTAAAATAGGTTCGACGTACAAAACGTTAGGAATTTGATATAATAAGTAATGACGCAGAGAAATCTAGTTGTGGTCGCTGATACTTTAGTATCCGACTAACTGTCGTCTGGCATCAACTGACTGCCCGACTATATTTAGTCACCCCCGGCCACGAGGGCATCATGTGGCACAAGGCCGGTTTAACGTGGGATCTCCGAGCCCGTGGGCTCAGCCAAAAATACGCCCATTGAACCCGTATAAACGGGTTCAGGGTCGGTTTACCTCCACGAAAGAGAATCCGCCCTTCGGCGTAGCCTCGTTCGAAGGCAGAGAGTTCAACCGATCGGCCAGTCGACTAATTATTATAGTTGGGAGAGTCTATTAACTATAGAATAGGTGTGTTCCACTATAACACTACATAAACCTCTTCGACATCACTTCTTGATTCCTATTTATCATGATGATTTATTTTATTAGGGTGATTTCATTCTTACTGAAGGGAGTGACTGCAAAACACTTTAACCTCCCCGTTTATAGGCAGAAGCACACAAATACATACTTTTTTATTTTCTTAACCAATAAGGCCGGTTTTCAGTTTCATTTTACTCAGTCCCGATCTGTCTTGTCTTGAGGTCAGAACTCTATGTTCGTTTGTCCGAGCTTTTGTGTGTCAACTTTTTGCCATATTACCGTTTATTTGTCTTGCATATATTTTTTTTTTGCTTTCTTCGTTTTTGTAGTGTTTCTTTCTTTTCTTTCTCTTGTTATTTCAATCTTTCTCAATTCTATTTGTTTGACAGTCCTGTTATTTATTTTGCATTTGACCATGGCTACGGTTGTGGCCTGTTAGATGCCAGAAAGAAAGACACGGAAAGAAGGTAGGTTGAACAAGGAATAACAGAACATATATACAAAATAAGAGTGTTATTAGTCAGCAGATAGAAGTGTCCGTCCGAACTATAAGGTTACACTGAGTTCCGACTGCCTGCCTAGGAAGTCTAGCAGGTTAGTATTTATGAAGGAGGAGGAGTTCATTCTCATATAGATAGATCACCATAAGAGCTACTCTCTCCTCAGTCTGCTATCTTGTATAGGGAAGTCTAGATATGCAACGAATTTGTTACATTTTTAATATTCCATTCCCTGTTCAATCGTAGTAAATATATGAATTCTGTTTGCGCAACTGTACGGTATTTACGTTTAATTTGATAATACTGTCATATGTAGATAAGCGAAATTTCTTTAATTTCTTACTGTGTGTTGTGGAGTATTTTCACAGTGGGGGCTTGTATTTCTAATAAATCGTACAAGACGTTAGAAACTTGGAATATAATAGTCAATGACGCAGCAAATCTAGTCGTGATGGTTGGTACTTCAAATGTCCGAATCTCGACTGACGTTCTCAACACCGTTCTGCAGACTTGCCACTGCTACTGCTACTTATTATCTATGGGAGAGTCCATTACCAAAGAATAGGTACTATGGCACAACACTGTGATATTATGGCAATATAATATGCAACTCAAACTGGTGTTCTGTTTTGAGTTATATCGTTTGTGCCTCTGTCTTAGTTTCTGCGGCTCTCTTCAGGTCAATACACCGAAGACATATTGTTCTTTACTGAACGTCAAATAGGCAGTTTTTCCACCAGGTGAAAAGCTTTTTGTGTAATAACAAATAGCACAACGAATGTAGTCTTTATTTTCTAATTTTACTGTTACCGAGTAGGGAAATTTAGCCGACTACTTATCAGCAACGGAAGTGGTGCATTGAATGTGAGAAATTATCCCATTACCTTGCAGACGCATTTGTTAGCTAGAAAGCGGAATATTCTCAATGAAGCATCCTGAAGGAAGAAATTCCTTTTTTACCAGGAAATCTCACTTTCCCGCTAATTGCTGATTTATATATTCAAGGGACAATGAAAAAGATATCGCCACATCCTGCGTCTTTTGTCCTGCAGGACTTGTGTCCATCAAGTGACTCTGTCAAGTATATTCCATTTTAGAAGTATGATATAATTCTAACACCTTGTGTAGGTGTTTATTAGTAGTAGGGTTTTTTTTTTATTCTTAATTCTTGGACTTAAATTATTCTCCATTATTTTACACGCTCATTGGTATATTATATTGAAAAGCTACCAGTGATCTTAATGTTCTTGCCTCTACTCAGCGTTTCAGTTATCACAGGTATGACAGTATTTTTAAAAAAAATGACACCATTTTCTTTCCATTTCAAGTAGAGGGTGTTTCATTAAAACGGATTAAAGTCAGCAGTAAATAAATCTGTGATATTGATGAAAATTTACTTATTTCTCCATTGGATCATGTTATTTAAGTCATGTCAATTCTGTCTGAAAAATTATATCGCCCAAATGTCCGCTAAGACTTCGGCGGCACACCTTCACTCGATAGTAAAAATTTTTGATGACAACTCTGCATAGTTGCTCCTCGATCTCACCAATATTCCTTAATATTTCATCCTTCAGCTGTTGAATTGTTGTTGGCTTGTTGGCATAGACCTTACTTTTGAGATGAGCCCAAATCTAAGAAATCTAAAGGCGTCAAGTCGCACGATCGTGGTGGCCAAATGACCTCGCTGTTTCGAGAGATGATTCTCATTGCATTTCTGTTTGAACGTCCATTTTCGTAATAGGCTTCGATAGATTTAACACGTTGTTTGTTTGTTAATCTTTCCATGGTCGAAATTGCCAAAGTTTTAAGTTGTTGAAACTGAAAGAAAAAGAAAAAAAAATAGACGCTTAAACTTAATTCCCATTTAAAATCGGTCCATGTTATTGGAACACTCTTTACCTTATATTTAATTAGGCTATCGTATTATCTAGCATGTTTAATTTGATTTGACACTGTTATATCTATAAAAACTCATATTTTTTCGTTTAGTCTTTAATCACTGTCTAGTCTATTAGGTTTTATATATCGCTTAATTTTAATGGCAAGGTCCCAATGAGTATTGACTTCAAGTCTTTCTGTGATTGGTTCAGAGTAATATTTTCAGCATATGGCGCACTATAATATTGAAATATGCCTCCCAATGAATATATTGTCCAATCTTATCAGGACGATCTTTTATTCTGTCGGTGTCAGGATTGAATAACCAGGCACTAAAAGGTCCATGGTCTCAACATGTTGTTGGAATAATCTATATAATTGGTATGAAACCATTTTTATTATATATGGCTGCTAATTCCTTGGGAATAGGCTTTTTTTCCTGCGTAGCCATTACACATTTCCCCGTCTCTGCTTTTATTCCAACTATGGATGTGTTTATCTTCATCCGTATCGTTAAATCCGAGTACATATTGACAATGTAAGGTTTTTGTTCCCGGGTGATTTTAAATTGTTTACATCTTGTGTTTTAGTATCCATTTTTCATCGTTTTATTTGCATTTGTTGGCTGAGTATTTTTATCTATATCTTTCACGAGGTCATTTTCTTGCAACAAAAAGTGTTTTCTTTTTTTATTTAAACTGAATATATAAAAAGCTTCTATTTTTTATTTCATTTTATTTGCTTTTCTCGTGAAAGTCAACAAGTGACAGCATTCAGTCAGATGTGGTTTCTAAATAATTTTTAAACCTATAGTTCTTTTATTCTATTTTTATTCTTTTATTCTTTTATTCTATGTCAGTTTTTATTAAGCAGTTACCATCATTACTTCCAGGAATATAATGATGTTCAGTGTCAGCTTTCTGGTGGTGTATCTAAAGACAAGTCAATTTCTTTATCTTGGAAAACATTCTTTTTATTTTCACTGACGTCCATTGATGATAATGACGCTATAAGTAAAACGTTATATTACTCGCGAATTTATACCCATTATCTGATTACGAGCAAATTTATACCCATAATGATATAACTAAAATTCAGTTTAGAAATTATTATTATCTCTCAAACTGCTAGCCACTAAAAGATAAATTTTAATTTTTCACTCAAAGAGAAGACAAACGACAGAACATTGTTAGATAAGTACACCTGTAGCCATAAAAAAAATCATTCAATATGATCCCTACCCATGAGGATATATACACATGTACATGCAGATAAAAAGACTATTTTTATTAAGATACTTAAGAGTAAGGTAGGATATATATATATATATATATATATATTGCTGTTCAATAAAAGCGACTCACCTGATTTTTTTTTACTAAATGTTCTCTCCTCCAATGAAACGAAAGTTGAGCTAAATTCAAAGGATAAGCGATCTAAAATCCGAAGAAGAAGCTTTGAAAGCTTTTTGAAGTTAGCAGTAAGTACTGTCAAGCATCTGTTCAGTATAATGTTCTGGGGATATTTTTCTTTTCATAGAACTGGTTTCTTGAAACCTATTGAAAAGACCCTCAGGAGCGAGCAAGTGCAAGAGAATTTTAGAGTCTTGTCTGCTCCCTTCTGCTGAAAGGGTGCAAATCGACCCCACCAAGCTCATTTTTATGCAGGGTAATGTTCCCTGTCACAAATCAAAATTGATGAAGGAATACTTTGATGAGAAGCAGGTGAGTGTTATGACATGACCACCCCAATCTCCTGACCTCAAACCCATAGAAAACGTATGGAGCATTACAAAGTACAGGCTCTCGAGAAAGCAGTTGAGCAACATGCTCTATAAGTTTTTTTATGGGGTTGAGGTTTAGGTCAGTTTTTTATGATGTCTGCTCATTTTCTTACTGTATATTTGTTGATAATATATATATAAAGAAATATAGTTTTAAGGTGTGCTATATTTATGGGATAAAGTCCTCAGAATCAGAGCTAGAGCGGATATATATATAAAAGAGAATATTAAATCAATACTCAGAGGCGACAGTCTGTTTAATGATAGTTCCATGAAGTGCGGATAAATTCTGACCTACGCTCGTATTATTATGATAATAGCCAAAACAGTGTTATTTACCTTGAGCCAATACTGGCAAAACAATCGTATTGCTTGTGTTAATATGATTAATTGTTACTTTAGTGGCGATTTTTTTAGCCTATGTTTTTTATATTACTAGGTTTAAATAATTGCATGAATATTGCAGTCACTCTCATAAACGAATAACATGGCACAAATAATCGACAACCTTTTATGGCGAGATGCTTTCTACTTGACATTTTAACAGCAGCAAGGAAATTGGTGCGGTCACGCTCAAACTTCGATCACGTGATCATGATAGTCCCAACTATAAGCACGCATGAGCAGAAGGTAGTGGGAAAATCCTAATGAGTTAGCTCCTCCGTTAGTTCCTTAACCCTTCACCAGGGGTCTCTCTTCCCTGGCTATAAATACTGGCTGACCCTTCGCCTCGATCTCTTTTTTGCCCTCACGCCTTCGGCCTTATACCACCTCGCATATTTGAGCTCCCACAGATACAGCGTTTCCCAAATTCTGGGAACACGGTAAGAACAATACACGTACGTACGAACACTCACCACAACACATACACATAATATTCACCACACGCACTCAATGTAACTGTCCATGTGCTTGTAACTTGTAGTTGTAATTAATACATATATTTGTTTGTATATAATTATCGGTCTTGTTTGTTTCTTTAGACTTAATTAAAGTCAAATATTCTCATGTAGCTGGGCCGGCTTGCAGGGAATTCTACCCACATGTGTTCTTCTAAAATACATACTCATTACCGACACGTCCCACTACATATGTTACGGTGAAAGTGCGGATCATTTTTGACTTTCACTCTTATAATCGGGGTTCCTCAAAATACATTTGCTTTGTAACCAACCCCTTTTCCCTGTTTGCTTTTTGAAATTTACAAAATAATCTCCATATAATATTTTTTCGATGATCTTAGCTCTTCTGAAATTAGATGAATCAAGTCTGTAATAAACACAGGGGTTTGCAAAGTACATGTCAGAACGAAAAAAAAGTCATTTCACCAATCCGATTTCAACGAGGTTTTAAAATTAGAACTCGTCATAGACTAACATTAAAATGAAAGCGTTATCACAGACACTAGCGTAGTACCCGTAAAGAATGACCTGATTATTTACGCATGCGTCAACTTTTCTACCTCAAGTCAGAATATCTGAACATTCTGTCTTGGTTCGAAGTATCGTTCCGTGGCACTTCGGTTTAAGATGAGAGTGTGGTTCTTTTTTTTTTCCCCACCTCTTCCAAGTTCTGCGATTACGATAGTGGGGTATCAGTGTCCAGTTTCTGTTTCGATCAATTCACGGGGGTGGGGGGGAAGATAAGGGGCATAAACACACTTTCTTACTTTTGTTCCGAAAATGTTGTATAATAGCAACAGGACTTCCCTTCACCGGGAGAGATTTCTTCACCGGGTAAGGCGTCAACGGTTTGCTTTTTGAACTTTACATTTCATGGCGACATGCTTTTTACTTGCCATATATAAAAATTCTGTTGAGGTAAAATTGCCTCTCTCTTTATAGGTTTTATAGCTTTCTGAGGCCAATCGGTTCATCTTTATATATATATATATATATATATATATATATATATATATATATATATATATATATATATATGTGTCCGCTCGTCCGGTTTTAATCTAAATCAATATCTACACAAACTTCGAAAAGCAAGAAACAAAATGCTTTCAAGCAGACTGTGGTTGTTTTTTAAGTGCCTGAAATATCTCGCACGAATGAAAATTACAAATCTTTTGGGCAATTTACGGTCAAAATAAGCAATTGTTCAGCGAATAAAATGGCGAACTTCGTCCTTTCCAATCTGCTACCAGCCAGTGAAACAATTTTCTAGGCTATGTTTTTCTTTCCTTTTTTTTTCTGATTTTCTTTTTTTGCATTCCCCTATCTCTCATTGTTCCCCCTCCACTCTCTCTCTCTCTCTCTCTCTCTCTCTCTCTCTTTGTGAAAATCTCTTCTTCTTTTTTTCTTTTTGCATCTTATTTGGATGGTTTGCTTTGCTTAGGATTAGAAATAGCCCAAATAAATGGACAATTTTCTTCGGCGGAGAAACAGAAAGACGTATCGAAAGGTAACTAAAGACATTAAGAGGTAAGATGAAAACGAGGATGAAAAATGGAGACGGGGTGAAGAAAAAGTCAAAAAATATCTAAAGAAATAGAAACAAACAGAAAGGCGTAGCAATGAGATTTTACAAGGATGCTCATAAGGCAAGGATATTGAGAGAAAAGCAACAGGAAACAAAATGAAAAAAAAAAACGGTGGCAGGAAATAGTGTAAAGTAGAAGGAAGGAAAATAGAAAACGCGAAGAATTGAGAAGGAAACAGTAAAAATAGAAAATATGTGTAAGAGAAACTAAGTCACGTGAAGAAAATAAGAGTGACTAAAAAGTAAATGATATAAAAGAATAAATAGAAAAGATGGTAGGAATAAAAAATTAAAAAAATATATGCAGGGATAAAAAGAAGGAAATTAGCAAGAAAAATAAGGGAAGAAACGAAGAAAGAAAAAGGATAAAAGAATGAATGAAGTAAATTTTAAGAAAGAAAGAAGAAAAATAATAAATGAATGAATTAAATAAGTAAGATGAAAAAGGATGAATGAATGAATTAAAAGTTATGAAAGAAAGAAGAAAAATGTATGAATGAATTAAATATTAAGAAAGAAAGGATAAAAAGAAAGAAAGAAAGAATGAATAAAATATTAAGAAAGAAAGAAAAAGAAAGAAAGAATGAATGAAATATATGTTAGAAAAAGACAGAAGTAAAAAGAAATAATGAATGAATGAATTGAGAAAGAAAGAAGAAATAAATAAATAAAAAATGAATTAATTAAACGTTAAGAAAGAAAGAAGAAAAAGAAAGAAAGAATGAATTAAATGTAAAGAGAAAAAGAAGAAAAAGAAAGAAAGAATGAATTAAATGTAAAGAGAAAAAGAAGAAAAAGAAAGAAAGAATGAATTAAATGTAAAGAGAAAAAGAAGAAAAAGAAAGAAAGAATGAATTAAATGTAAAGAGAAAAAGAAGAAAAAGAAAGAAAGAATGAATTAAATGTAAGGAGAAAAAGAAGAAAAAGAAAGAAAGAATGAATTAAATGTAAAGAGAAAAAGAAGAAAAAGAAAGAAAGAATGAATTAAATGTAAAGAGAAAAAGAAGAAAAAGAAAGAAAGAATGAATTAAATGTAAAGAGAAAAAGAAGAAAAGAAAGAAATAATGAATTAAATGTAAAGAGAAAAAGAAGAAAAAGAAAGAAAGAATGAATTAAATGTAAAGAGAAAAAGAAGAAAAGAAAGAAAGAATGAATTAAATGTAAAGAGAAAAAGAAGAAAAAGAAAGAAAGAATGAATTAAATGTAAAGAGAAAAAGAAGAAAAGAAGGAAATAATGAATTAAATGTAAAGAGAAAAAGAAGAAAAGAAAGAAAGAATGAATGCGTTAAATGTTAAGAAATAAAGAAGTAAAAAGAAAAAAGTATGAATGAATTAAATGTTGATAAAGAAAGAGGAAAATAAATACAGAATGAATGAATTAAATGTAAATAATGAAAGAAAGAAAAAATAAAGAAAACGTATGAAATAAAAAGGTAAGGAAAGATCATGAAATAAAGGAATAAAAAATTAATAAATTAAATGTTAAGAAACAAAAAAGAATTAATTAATTAATTAAATGTTAATAAAGAAGAAAAAGAAAGAAATAATGAATAAATTAAATGTACAGAAAGAAAGAAGAAAAATAAAGAAATAATGAATGAATTTAATCTTGAGAAAGAAACAAGAAAGATAGAAGGGAATGATTATGGTAAAATAGAAATAGAGCAAGAAACTCTATATAAGAAATATGGTCATTATAAAGAAAAAATAGTAAGGTCATGAAAGAAAGATAAGTGATGAAAGAAAAAGAAAGGAAAAATGAAGGAATTAAAGGTTAAGAAAGAAAAAGAAGTGACGGTTGCAATAAAGTAAAGAAAGAAAGAAAGAAAGAAAGAAAGAAAGAAAGAAAGAAAGAAAGAAATTCTATGTAAGAAATAAGGACATGAAAAAAAAAAGAAAGGAATCTCAGGAAAGAAAGGAAGAAAAATCATGAATAAAAAAAGAAAGAAAGAAATGTTAATAAATAAATACAAAATGAAGTAAAAAAGAAAGGTCGTGAAAGAGAGAAGGAAATGTTACGAAAGAAAGTTTACAAATGAAAGAAAGAAAATCCAAAAAACATAGAACTAAAGAAAAAGCAAGAAAGATAAAATGAGAAAAGAAGATGTTTTTAAAAGTAAAGGAGTCATTTCATTGTTGGAGGCAAAAATGAAAAATGGAATTGAGTAAAGGAAAGAAATTGATAAAAAGAAATGCAAATGAATGAGAAAAATGAAAGACTTTAAATTCTAATAAATCCCTAACAGTCAAAGAAATGAAGAACAAACGAAAAAATAGAATGTCGAATAAAGGACAAAGACTCGAACATCCAATTGGAAGAGAAAAATCAATAGTAAGACATTCAAATAGAGTGAAAGAATGAACAGAAGAAAGAAAGAAAGAAAGAACGAATGAAAGAACGAAAGAAAGAAAGAAAGAAAGAAAGTACAAAGAAAGAAAAGAAATAGTAATATATGTAAGTAAACGGAAAGAAAGAAATAAAAAAGAGAAAGGAATGGTAAAGCAAAAGACTCCGGTTAATGAAAATTAAACAAATGGGAAATAATTCAAATTAAATGAAATAATGTGCAGGTAAACAGGTATAACCAAAAGAAAACCTCAGAAAAACAAACGAAAAGCTAGAAATGTTTGTTCTACTCGATTCAAGGAGAAAGAAAAGAAAGAAAGAACCAAGAAAATAAAGAAAGAAAGGAAGGAAGGAAGGAAGAAAGAAAAAGGTCTTTGTTGGCCGAGCGTGTGAAAAAATTCACTCCAATAAAGGTTAGAAGGTAAAATCGAAAAGAAATACACACACGTACATACAAAATATATATATATATATATATATATATATATATATATATATATATATATATATATATATATATATATAATAGAGTGAACGAAATAAGCTAAGAGAAGACAATTTGTTTAAGGCCGGAAAAAGACAACTTTGATGCGTAGAGACGAGGAAGGAAAATTAACCTACCAAGAAAGAAAGACAGAAAGAAAGAAAGAAAAACAAAGGTAAGAAAGAAGCTAGTCAAATCTACAGAATTGTGTAGAAAGAGAGGTTTTTCCCCCGGAATAGATAGGCCGGTGGAAAGGCGTACTCGAATGGATATTGGTTTGCAATATCTCTGAGGGGAATTTTCCACGCGACTAAGCATTCAATGGCATCACTCAGTGTGCGAGATTAAGATGCTGCCTCCGTAATTATGAAGAACACGATCTATTAAACCTGAATAACGCTTTATCAAGGAATCCGTGGGGTCATTCTGGTACAGAATTTGTGACATAACATTGAAAATAGATCGCAGGCAAAATCTCACTGATAAGAAAAGAAACAATTTTGATCCGCGCATGCGCCTTTTGCACTTTGCGTATGTATAGAAATTCAACATTCCTACAGAGTCTTTGTATGCGTGTATTCTAGTCCACCTGGGCATACGTGTGTGACTACTTTCTTACACACACATACACACACATACACATACACACACATGAAAAAAAAATATATATATATATAAGAATTGTAAAGGAGATTGTGAATTGTTTCAAAATGTTTTATTTTATAACTCTTTCTTTTATTCACGTTTATTTACCATCTTTTTTTTATTTCTTTTTAATATTCAAAATGTTGTTTTTTTTTCTGATTTCTTTCTTCCCGTTTGAATTTATCGACCAATATTGCCTCGAGTAATTGCGCTTACTGTTCGAATCCATTTAAGAAACTGAAATATTTACGACTACTTATATTTGTTCCCTTCTCAGTTTAAAAGCAAAAAAAAGCATACACGTAAAACAAATTCATAATCCTTCTCCTATGTACGTTGTTCCTTCAGGTCTTGTGTTATCAAAGCTTTCCACAACTTCATATACTTTCTAGCCATTTGTCTACTACGACTTACCTTTGCTATCTTCTCTTTCTCACAAACATATAATATATATATATATATATATATATATATATATATATATATATCGACGTAAAAAATGAAATCTTAAGAATAGGATTATCCAACCATTCGTCCTTGCATGGAATACTCTTGCCTTATATAGTCTGCTGCCCCCACTGTTCATCGCGAGGTCCTCGACAAAATCAAGAGACGCAGTGTGATAGGTCCTTATCTGGCATCTCGTCTACAATCACTCTCTCACAGACGTGCGGTGGCTTCCCGCTGTCTTTTCAACAAATGCCTTTCATGGCAACTGCTCTGACAAGCTTTTCACCCTGGTGTCCCGACGGCATGAATTTAAGCGTGCTACTAGATTACCATCTAGGTCACACCTTTTTACTATTGAAATAGCTAAATGTAACCACCACTTCTACTCAAACAGTTTATTTTCTCGCATTTCCTACCTGTGGAGCTCTTTTACGTTTACTTGCTTCCCTGATAATTACAATCTTTAAAGATTTAAATGCAACAACAATCGCCATCTTCTGTCGTCTTGAATCCTGTTCATCTTTTAGCATTTCCTCAATTCCCCCCTATACCAGGTATCCCCTGCGTACTAGTGGCATTCCTACCTTGCTTGGGGTGAAATGATTAAAAAAAAAGAAAAAGAAAAAAGTGCGTGTAAGACAAATTCATAATTCTTTCTCGGTGTCCCTTCAGGACGTGGATTATCTTGGATTTCCACAACTTCATACACTCTCTAGCTGTTTCTCGCTTAGCAAGTCGCTCATCTCCCGTTCCACCATCCATTTACACAAGTTAGGTAGGTAAGTGGTCCACTGGCTTCTTTTGTCTCTCTTGCTCTCAATATGCATTTTGAGTGTCAAATTTTCCAAGCCGTCTTTCCTTGTTATTTATCCAAGAAATATCAGCAATCATTTTCTGATTCATAGTATAAGTATCGTTTTGATTCCATTTCCCATATGACATCTTACTTGCTTATGCGATTCGACCATAGAAATTTTTAGTATAATTCTGTAGAACTGCATTTC